TCCCAAATGAAGGCTTTCTCGGTTTCATAGCTCTGCATGGTGCTTGTTGGCATCGTACCCTCGTTAAGGAGCAATGATTATCTGAGCTTGTTGCAGATCTGCCACGATACGTGCGAGAGAATAAACTTGGGCTGACCAAATTGTAGGTAGTCTGTGCTATTACCAGCTGCATACATTTTCACACCAGGACTTAAATGTCTTCAAAACACAGAACTGTTCATGAATATTTACTAAAATATGCATCTTGTGCTTTCCAGTTTCCATGCCTTTAAAGCCGTGCTTTTGTTGTCCTATGCAACAAGTAGAAAAACACAGTTTCTTTAGCGAAGGCTGAGTTTGTCATATGATCCATATAATCCCCTGAGTAATAACTTGGGGTTAAAGCATAACCAAAATGGCAAATAACAAAAATAGATATTGGGCTTGCAAAGTTCCAGGATTGAGCTAGGGGTTTGCAGTACATTCACAAGGGCTCAGGGATTAATGCAGTTAATTTTGATTTTTATAGCCATTTTTCCTGTAGTTGAAACCTTGATTGTTGGTGCAGTCACTGTTTCCAATGTATGCATTTTGCTAGTTCAAGAGGTTCGGGGCCCGTGTGCTGTGGGGACGGCCAGGCAAAGGGAGGCAGAGAGCTTAAGTTGTGCTTGGAAGAGGAAATAATTAATCTGAAAACTGGGCTGGACAAACATGGGTGTCAGCAGTGTTTGTGGGGTGGTTTTAGTATGTTTTTTCCCTTTTTCAATTTTTTACTGTCTCTCTTTTTCCTTGTTTGTTCATTCTTTCCAAAGTTTTCCTTCACTGCTGACTTTTTTAATTGTTTTTTTCCTCCTCGCTGCTTTTGCCCAGGCAGACTTTGAGCCGGATAAAGCCGGAGCAGCGCCTTCCCTCTGTTAATAGCAGGTCGCCGTGCCAGCTCCTGGCCGCCCAGGGCAGGTTTGGGTGCCGGGGGTCTCCGGGGGGAGCGGGGGTGACTGTTCCTCCTTCCCTGCCCCGGGAAGGTCAACAAGGGCAGCCTGCCCTTGCAGACCCCAGCCCTGGGGCCTCTGCAGACCCCTCCTCGGACAGTCCCGTGCCTTCGCCATTAGACGGGGTTTTTCTCCCTAGTCTCTGCTTTAAACGTGCAATTCAGAGCAATTATCTCTTGGCTGTCCTGCTCACAGCAGTCTTCTCCACGCTTGCAGACTGCTGTCATGTTTCATCCGAGTCTCTTCCTTCTCTCGGTCCTGACGCTGTGTTCTCATCAAGTGCTTTAGATCTGACTCTTCCTGTTTTCTGCACCCTCTCTTCCTTTTTTGGCTGGCAGGCAGTAACCCTGTTTGTGCATCTTGGCATATTTTGTGCCTTTGTTCGGATTGCTGGTTCTTGACCCACTGAAACCCTGGTCTTTGTTTTTCTTTCTCTTTTTTTTTTTTTTTCCCCCCTCTAACAAACTGCTTATTTTCTACCCTGGACGGCAACAGTCAAATACTGCAATGTAGCACTTGTTTCTAATAAATTTCATCCTATTATTTCCACCCTCCTGCAATTTGCCAGTATCATTTGGGTTCTCTCTCTGTCCTTCACGTAATTGCAGCCTCCGAAGCTGGCAACATCAGCAAGTTTTATAAGCCCGTCCTCTAGTCCATCGTTAGCGCAAGCAGTGAGTGGCACTGGATAGACGGGGCCTTCTTGATGCAGCCCTAATATTTTGCTGCTGCACCGCAGATAACTGCGCTTGGCACGTATTTGCACGCAGCCTGTTGCAGATTAACGCGGGCACATTCCTCAGCTTGCCTGTGGGAACGCAGACAGTATCCACATGGAGAGCTCTGGCCAAGAGGTTAAATAGCTCTTACTGAGCAGAGCCGTATAAAGCAATTTGGAGAAGCTTTGAGGGACGTGGTATGTCCCGTCTTTCCAGCCGACCTCCGTGCTGTCCTCCCTGCCCGGGGCTGCGTTTGCCGCGTGCCCTCCGGCTCTGCAGGAGCCGGCTGTGACGGGGATGCTCAGCCACTGCCCGGGTTCCTGGGGCTTCTGGCTGGGCATAGGCAAGGCACGTTTTCCCCTCTCAAAGCCACAATCTGGCTCTAATCTTAATGGGGGGAATCTTGCTGCTGGGACTGACTCGGGTTCAACTGCATTCGGAGTCTGCTTTATCCCAGGACCTGTCTGTGCCAGCTGTGAAAACAGCTGTAGCTTAAAAAAAAAAAAGAAATAATAATAATAAAAAAATCCTGAGTTATGCAGCCCTGCTGTGGTCCTCAGCAAATAATCATTGCATACACTGGTTAATTGTTTATCCATTAACCGACTGTGTCAATTAATGTGGCAAGAGGAGCCCGGCCGTACCTGGCACGGCGGGGGGGGGGAGAGGGATTTTTCCGCCTTGGCCTCGGCCCGCCTGCTCGTCCTCCAGCCCTGCAGATGTGCTGTTTGTCTGCTGGTTTCCTTCAAGTGTAATTGCTGGCATGGCACGTAAAAAGTGTGTTTGGGCTTGTGTTCCCTTTGACCGTGCAAGCCTCCTGTTTTGGAAGGTGCATTACGTTTCCATGAAGCAAGAGCATCTCTTCAGACTAAAAAAAAACAAGCTGTGTTTTGTTTCTAAATGGGAATACAGACAGAAGAAATACAAAGCAAGATGCTGCTTTATTTCCAGCTAGAGTTGGCCAAAAAAAATTCTTTATGTGGAGTGGCAAGTGGGAAATAAAACAGGATTTTATTCTACGTGTCGGTGCAGAGCTGGGAAGCGCTGCTGCCCGGCGTGGGGCAGCTCTGGGCTCTGTGCTTTCCCCCGGAGTTATTTGGGAAAGCCTGGTGGCGTGGCCTCCCTCCCGGGAATGCTATTTATTTATGCCTGCTTTCTAGGGAGAAAATGAGAAAATCGAATATCCGAAGCCAACCTATATCTGGTGGAATGACTACACTGCTAAAAGAAAATAAAAATGAACCTCATGCTCTCTGAGTGATTGAAGTCCCTTGCAGTGTGTTGTTAGTAAAAGGTAAAGAGTAAAGCTTCTGGCACGGACAACTGGCTTTCCATCGAGCTCTGATGAAGGTGGTGTAGGGCAGTGCCAGTGCCGAATTCCCACTGCAGGGAGGCTGTGTAAACTGGGTAGAGGAGTGGGTAACGTCCGTGGCTTGATCGTCCCACGTTTCGGTGTATCTCCATCCACAAGGATTAGTGCAAATTCCTTTTTTGCCCTCCCTGGACAGAAGGGGAGTGAGGTCCCCGGGGGTGTACATGTGTGGGTTTGTGTTTGAATTATTCAGGTGGGTCTCTTGAAGCGACAGGCTGCTCCAGCGAGCCTCCACTCTGGTCCTGAAGCCTTCCGTGCTGTGGTGGCATTCCCAGCCACTGGTGGAAGGTGGCAGAGCCACCAAGACCCTTGGAGCCCTCGCTTCCGCAATGAAGCTGTTGTTTCTGCATTTACTTTGGTATAAGAGAAGAGATTGACCCAGTTTTTCTTGATTCAAGTCTGTGTGCAAATGGATTTTTTCTTTTTTTCCTGAAGGCAACTGATTTTAACATGTTTTTGGGCTTACATGATATCAGCCTTATGCGGTAATAAAATTATGTACTTATTTCAAGAGGAAACGATAATAAAGAACGTTCTTTCAAAAGCAGCTAAACACATGAATTACTGAAATGTTAAATTATTTCCAAATTACGGCATACCCAGCTTTTTCTATGGAGCTTGCTCAAGAATAATTGCACAGTGTTCTTTGCCGACCTTAACATCAGAAATGTTGCACTTTTTCTCTTCTTTTTTTTTTTTTAAAAAAAAATCATTCTTGCGCACAGTGTAAGAGCTTCCATGGGTATAAATGGGCATCCTTGTGTTGGCTTCTGTAAAATATGGCCAGTTTGTCCTGTCCATATTTTTTCAGCATAGCTATCAAGCCGTGACATTTATAGCAGAGCAGAACAAAGATTGAAGGGACTTTTTATCATGTAGATGCTCAGGAGCTGGAGCTTGGCTGCGGGCAGGGACCAGCAGCCGGGTCTGCAGCCCCATGATGAGTTGCAGAGCGTGGAGGAGGGGGAAGGAGCAGCTTTGCAAGTACTCACAAGCCCTGAAGGATTGCACCAGCATTAGTGGATATGCCTTGCATCTTGATTTTTTTTTTTTTTTAATACTTTTTTTTTCTTTTCTCCTTCCTTCCACGTTTTTGTCCTGACTCAGGCTCCTGGTATGGGTGGGTGGGGATAAAGGTGGGAAGTGCTGTAGTCGTCAGTGCCCAAACATCTCCAAGTGCTGCTGCCTGACCGCCCTGAGCAGACAACAGCCTTCCCCGTGCTCGCTGCCTACTGTTCCCATCATGGAGGGGCGGTGGGCTGCTCCCCTGCCCTCCCCAGGGCTGTATTAGGGGTACGAGCTCCCTGAGGGGCTGCTGGAGGGGTGAGGACAAGGTGCAGCATCCACCCGTGTTGCTCCCAGGCTTTCTGTGGGCATCGGGATGCCCTGACCCCGCTCTGCTCCCCAGACAGGAGCCCTCGCGGCTGTGACTTTTGAGGCTTCTGAGAGGATGGAGCCGTGGGAGAGCACGAGACACGCAGATACCATGGGCGATCGTGTAAGGTGTGTAGAAATAGAGGAAATATTAATAATGCCAGGAGTTCAATCAAAGAAAGAACACTTAACGAAGTGCTTACTGATTTTCTGAGTGAGCTTTTCCTCTGTCCAGACTAACCTGGGAAACAGCGTCATGTGAATTAGGTCTGGGATTTGGCCAGGCATTAATACAGTTTGTGCTTTTTTTCTGGTGTATCGTCATTATTACGGAGATAGCTGAGGTGACCAGCCGAGCTGATGGCAGAAGCTTCCTTGCTTTTCCTTTGTGTGTAGGATGGGGGTAGTTGGGATGAATGTGGGTAAGGGGCTGGAGGGAAGACGGGGCCACACGCTGCCAGGGGTTTCCCTCAGCCCCGCTGCGCCGGTGTTGCGGAGGGAGTGATGACAGCCCCGCTTCTTCCTCCCCCCACAGCGCCCCGTGGCTCTGGCGCGCAGGTCCGTGAGATGTCACTGAGAGCTGAAAGCCATGCAGCTACGTCGGCGCTGAAGAAGATCGCTGCAGACATGAGCAACATCATCGAGAGCCTGGACACCAGGGAGCTCCACTTCGAGGGGGAGGAGGTCGACTCAGAGGTGCTAAGTGACCCAAAAGGCACCGGTGAGTTGACACCCGTACATTCTCACCTTGCGTTGTGCCTGGATTTAATAACTGGTAATCTGTTGACAGATAGTGTACAACCTCAGTGGTTTTAGTAAGCCCAGCTGTTAGCCATGTTTTAGGACCAGGAGGTCCTAAAGCACCTGAGCTCTTCAAGTCAAGTTCCTTCTGTGAAAGCTTGACTTTTAAGCTCCTTTAAAGAAAACTGGTACGTTTTAGTGGAATTACTGCTGCTGCATAAATGCTCCCATGTTAAAGTATTGCAACTGTCTGCTGACTTTCATGCCCTCGTTGATGGGTACAAGGCTGTTGAGCTAACGGGGTTTGTGGTCCTTCCAGCGTGCATTCCCTTCTCTGCCATCTATCACACCTGTGGGTTCAAAGAGCCGGGCACGCAGACGTACCTCACGGGATGTCCTGTTCAAGTGCGTGTGTTGGAAGTTGAACGCTTTACTTCCACAAAGAAGGTCAGAACTTCCAGAAATTTCATTTAATTTCCATAGAACCGTATTAAAATGCTGTTTGTGGGTTGATTTTGCTCATGCTTGTTCATG